GAACGACCAGCTGACGCCGTGGGAGGAGTTCCTGCAGAAGAAGAAAGAGAGGAAGAAGCAGAAGAAGTCTCAGAGGAAACAGGTGAGGGAGGGGGGGGGCCCCTCCTCACCTGTTTCCTCTGAACTTCTTCTGCTTCTTTCCTCTCTTTCTTCTCTGCAGGAACTCCTCCCAGCTCAGCTGTCGCTTCCCCTCCAGCTTCTTCTTCACCACGCTCTCCGTCGTCTCTCAGCCCTGACACACCCACACGCACCACGCTACACCACACACACACACACACACACAGCCACACACCACACAACACACCACCACACACACACACGCACTGCCACGCCACACACACGCACGCAAACACACACACACACCACCACACACACACACCACGCAAACACACACATATACACACAACACACATCACACACCACACACACACACACACACACACACACACACACACACACACACACATCACGCACGCCGCAACACACACACACACACACGCACCACACGCACGCAGCGCAAACACACACACACACACACACCACACACACACACATCACACTCACGCAAGACACACACATATACACACACACACACACACACACACAACACACACACACACATACACATACACATACAATACACAACACACACCCAAACACACACACCACTACACACACACACACACACACACACACACACACATATTTTAAACAGCAAATACTCAAGACCAATCTTTACTTTTGAATTTTATCTTATTATCTTTCCGTCCATTCCTGTTCTTCTATTTTTTTGTTATTGTTCATTTCACTTGCTTTTATTATTTTTTTACTTGATTGTTTGTTACCATCCAAATGTTCACGAGCTCAGGACTGTCTCTGTTTACAAGCTTCTGATTGGCTGAAGTGCATGACCTGCATCACTTGTTAGACATTTACCTTCGGATCGGCAGTCAGGTAGGTTTCAGGACAATGTTTTTCTAATCCACTGTGATGCGGATCAAAGAACTATAATCAATTGGCTAATTTAATAAAGTGATAATAGTGATTTGCTTCCTGTTTCCACTTTTGATTTTATGTGAAAGTCCTGATTGTGAAGTTGCCTTTCTTTTCGCCAGCTTTCTTTCTGCTAGTTACCTGCCTACTATCTTACTGAATTTACTAAACTTTAAACATCACACACATACACACACACACACACACTACACACACACACACACACACATCACACAACACACACACACACTACCACACAAACCTGCCACCCAGGTGATCTCCATCTGCATGTCTTGTCCTCCTCAGCTTCTTCCTCTCTTGCCTGCAGACCTCTCAGCAGCTCTCTGTACTGTGTTGATGATCTGCTCCTCACTCTTCTTCTTCTTCGTCTTCTTCTCTTCTCCTCTTCCTTCCTCAGCTTTTCTCCTCATTCCTCTTCTGCCGTTATAGCTGTGTAACAGAACAATCCCGTCAGCGGCTTCGTCTCAACCACAGAAGAAAGAACTCTTCATTAAAGAGCAGATCGAGTCTCTCACCCTCCCGGCTGTGACGTCTTCCCGAACTGCAATCGTCTCCATTCTTAGTCCTTCCACTCCTTCCCTCGTGAGACCAGTATGGCTTGAAGTCCATTTCCAGCAGCTCGTCCTTGTTAACTTCCTGTGATGGCTGTCCCCCGCCTCGTGGTCGGCTCTCGTCCACGTCAGCTGCACCTACTTGTTTCAATAAAATGCACGTACATTCACATCTCCAATTAAAAACCTCTTTCAAGTCAGTGAAACATACTTTCTGCAGATGTTTCAAAATAAAAGACTCATCATAATAATTAACCCTTTACATAATACTTCCACATAACCTGGTCGCCTGCCCTCCATTTGGCCCCCCCCAGATACATCTCCATTATCCCCCAAACATTTTTTTCCCTAATTATCTTTTTTATATATGTGAATGCCCTCTTTCACTTACCTGTCATGATCTCTTTGTCATTATGTTGAAATTCATGTTCTTTATTTTAATTCTATTCATTCCTTTACTCAGCTCTGCTCTTTTCTTCTTCCTGCCTCAGGACTTTTGTAAAAATAAAGTTATTATTATTATAAACATAAAAGTCTCTCCACCACATTTAAAGGAGGCGAAGTTAAAATAATAAAACCATTAAAGCTGAAATGATTCGTTCGATTTTATATGTAATGTATCAATTTTAAAAATCAATCAAAATCCTCATTCCCCCCCTCAAATGATGATTCTTCCTGCTTCTTCTTACAAACGACATACCTTTTGTGTGTTCGACTTTTGGTCATCAAAAAAACAGACCGAATCTGAATTCACGTGAAAGTTTTTACAGTTTTAATCAAACAGAAACTTTGTTGCATTAAATGTTTGTTATTTGTTGCTGATAAAAGAAAAAAACTGAATGATAAATATAAAGATCTTTTATGTTTTTTCTACAAGACTGAGCAGTGATCTGACCTTCGATGTGGCCTCGGGCAGATGAGGTGAAGAGTTTGGGCGTGTACGCGACAGGTTCACGTCCGTTCGCCGCGTCTTTCGGCTCCTCGGGAAACTGACGTCATCAGGAATAACCTGTCGACAAAAAAAAAAAAAAAAAAAAAAAAAACAAAAAAAAAAAAAAAAAAAAAAAAAAAAAAAAAAAAAAAAAAAAAAAAAAAAAAAAAAAAAAAAAAAAAAAAAAAAAAAAAAAAAAAAAAAAAAAAAATCGTGAACTTGGTTTTTTTAATCGTGTGACTTTGGTTTCTGTTAGGTTGTGTTTGTTGTTCTCTGTTCTATTGTTCTCATGTTCTGTGTTCTCATGCTCTATGTCTCAGTCTTGTGTTCTGTGTTCTCGTTGTTCTGTGTTCTCATGTTCTGTTGCTCTGTGTTCTCATGTTCTGTGTTCTTCGTTCTCATGTCTCTCGTGTTCTGTGTTCTTCATGTTCTATGTTTCATGTCTATGTTCTCATGTTCTCTGTTCATGTGTCTCATGTTCTGTGTTCTCATGTTTATGTTCTTCATGTTCTTGTTTTCTTCTATGTCTTCATGTCTCTGTGTTCTCATGTTCTCAATGTTCTGTTTCTCATTGTTCTGTGTTCTCGTTTTCTGCGTTTCTCGTTGTTCTGTGTTCTCTGTTCTGGTTTCTCATGTTCTGTGTTCTCATGATTCTGATGTTCTCGTGTCTCCTACCGGAGGTCCATGACGGAGCAGCTGCTCTCGTACGCGTAGCCGTCACACTCTCCGTAGATCTTGGCGGCCGTGTCGACCGAGTCACACTCCACCACGGGTAGTAATACTTGAGACGCTTGACTGGTAGTCGCGCTCTTCGCCTGTAAACCCTGAGAGGAGACGGCAGACCAGCCACACGTTCAGATCCAGAGCAGGATTCAAACCTGTGTGTGTGT